AACGCAGAACTCCTTCTACAAGAGTTTTGCCGTTGAGTGTAGCAAGAACCAGGTCTCGATCGACATGTTCCTTTTCTCCAGTAACTACCAGGATGTCGCTTCGCTCAGCAACCTCCCGCGATACACCGGAGGACAAACCTATTTCTATCCCGGATGGAATGCGGCGAGACAAGAGGACGCGATTAAGCTCGCACAGGAGTTCACAAACTACCTAAGCTCCGAAATTGGGCTGGAGGCAGTTCTTCGTGTCCGCGCCAGTACCGGCCTTCGTATGTCTGCTTTCTACGGCAACTTCTTCAACCGCTCCTCCGACCTTTGCGCTTTCCCGTCATTCCCTAGGGATCAGCAATACAACGTCGAAGTTGCAATCGACGAGACCCTTACTCGGCCGCAAGTCTTCTTGCAAGCTGCTGTGCTCCACACAAGCTGCAATGGCTCAAGACGGATTCGTGTGATGACCCTTGGACTTCCCACGACCGACAACATCGCAAGCGTATACGCCGGAGCCGACGCGCAAGCTATTACAACTTACTTCAGCCACAAGGCTGTTGAGCGAGCCCTGTCCAGCGGACTCGATGCCGCTCGGGATGCTCTTCAATCAAAGGTCATCGAAATCTTGCAGACTTACAAGTCAAACATCGGAGGAGGCACAGGAGGGCTTAGTAAGTTTAATTCAGTGTCTACTTATCTCCCTTTGCTAACAATTCCTAGCACTGCCTGGTAACCTGCGTGCTTTGCCTGTGTTGTTCCTTGGTCTGATCAAGAACGTTGGCTTGAGGAAGAGTGCCCTCATACCATCTGACCTACGCGCTGCTGCCCTCTGCCTCCTTTCCACGCTACCTACCGCCCTGCTACTACGATACATATACCCAGCATTCCACTCCCTCCATGACATGCCCGATGATGCAGGTGTACCAGACCCCCAGACCGGCAATATTGTCATGCCGCCATTACTCAATCTCTCTTCCGAGCGCATTGTACCCTACGGTCTCTACCTGCTCGACGATGGTGTCAACCAATTCTTGTGGGTCGGACGAGACGCAGTACCGGCGCTGTTGATGGACGTTTTCGGTATTGAGGACCAATCGTTGATCAAGCAGGGTATGTATACCATATAGGGTTTCCGCGCCTCTTGCAGAATTGTGCTAACACCAAGTATAGGCAAAACTACCCTACCCCTTCTCGACAACGACTTCAGCCAGCGCATCCACGCCGTCCTTGAGAAGGCACGCGACCACAAGGCAAAGGGCGTGGGTAGCATCACCGTCCCCACGCTCTACGTGGTCCGGGAAAGCGGCGAGCCGACGCTGAAGTTGTGGGCGCAGACGCTGCTCGTCGAGGACCGTGCAGACCAGGGCGTCAGTCTGCAGCAGTGGCTCGGCATGCTCCGCGAGAAGGTACGTTCCGCCCACGAGGATGTGCCCCTCATCCTCTCGACGTGGCCTGATTGAGCGCCGGCTGACTCGCGACTAGGTTGTGCAGTAGACGGAAAGTATTATAAAGGACGGAAGAGAAAGAGAGGAGGGCTCTCGACTTGATTGGGCTGACTTGAATGATTTGGTGAGCGTGCTGATGAGATGACGTATATGAAGGGGATGCGGTGGGCGGATGGAATACTCACTTGGGCCCAACGTTGAATGCAGCCCGGGCTCTGGGCACGGAGCTCAGAGGTGTTGCTAGACCTATGCAATTCAGTCCTATAATGTGCAAACAAACAAACAAGACGGCATTCGGCCTTTCATGTTTCCTACTGCCGCCTCCTGAGATAACTACTGGTGTACGCGCCTGACATTGGAGAGTGTGAGGAGGCAAGGGTTGAGATGTTTGGCTGTGAGCTGGGCTTTGTGTTTCTATGTATGATTCTTGGCGGGTATGTACGCGGGTTTACTATGGTGTATGCACCATCCCTACGCCGAGGCGCTGATATGGCTAATCGTCGCTCTCCTCTGTATACTTTCCAGTCAGACCACCTAGTTGTGCCACCCTCACGCGCCACATCTACACGGCAATGAAACGTTTTTCTGAAGTAGACCATCTCCGCTGGATGTTCCACGAAGCAAAACCCCCCGTCAAGTCGATTCGCGTGTTGGGGTAGGGTCCGTCTACGGCCGCAGTCCACCTTACGAGCTACGAGTGTAATGAATGTTGCGTACGGCTCTCCATGCCACGCCCCCCTTTCACGCAGGACGCGGCCGCGGCCGCGGCCGCGGCCACGCCTCCCCCTCCGTCCCGAACTGCTCCAGCGAATGCAACATCCCCTGCGCCGGCACACCCACCCCTCCCACGCCCTCCCGGTTCTGCGTCAGGATACTGCGTATCGCGTCTACAGGCGGGCCGTCCCGTCTTCCCCCCAGCCCCTGAGACGTAGCTGCCTGGCTCACCGCCTCAGCGTGCGACAACGCCGTGCGCCCGAGGTTGCTGGGCCGCAGTGTACTCGGCACGGATGCTGGACCCCGCGTGGGGTGGTGGGTGAGCGGGTTCGGCACTGCTCGCGGACCCGCAACGGCGCAATTGTTCAGCACGGGTTTCCATGCTGGGTGCGGCGCGGACGCGAAGCCGCGGTGTTCGGGGGCGTTGAGCGGGCGGTTGATCGGCGGTCTTGTGGCTGCGGGGGCAGTCCCTTTTGAAAACACCGCCTTGTAGTCCGCCCGCTCGAGGGGCGCGCCAGGGGGGACTATATCCGGCGGTGCAGCACCCCCCGCGGGACCGTCGAGCCGCGCGACCTGGATGCGGGACGTCTGCTGCGCGAGACTGATGAGGCGTTGAGAGTGATGACCTGCGCCCGGCTTTGCCATGACGACTTTTGAGTCTGTGGGGTGGTAGATGGCGTGGACCTGGCGGCGGTGGAGGGTGAGGTTCCGCAGGTTGGGGAAGCGCGCTGGGCAGGCGTCGCAGGGGACGGGGCCGGCGGGGTGGGCGGTGGCGGAGAATTTGTCTTTGATGAAGTTCTGCGTGAGGGCGTCGTCGGGCCAGATGCCGCCGAGTAGTTCGGGGAGCCAGAGGGTCATTTCGACGCCCGCGGTGAAGTGGGTGGATATGTGGCTGTGGGGGGTCAGCAAGATGTGGAGGAGAGGATGGGTTGGAGGGGGAGGGGGAGGGCTACGCGACTTACTCTGCTCTTGTTTTCCAGTCTGATAATGCGAGACTGCAGAACCCACACAGTAGCAGGACCTTGCGCTCGATCAGCTTGCACCAGTTCTTGATCGCTTTGGGCGGCGGGCAACCATGGACCTGCTTGATGTGCTGAACGAGCTTGTCCTTGCGTTGGAACGTCCGCAGTTCTCGGGGTGCTTCAGAACACGCGATGCTCTTGTGCGATGTCAGATGCTCCTCATCTACGTTATTAAGATCACAAAAGACGCATTTTGAGTCTTCGACGGGCCCATTGGGCATGCAGACCCATTCCTTCTGTGGAAAATGTACAGACTCCTCATGCCGCTTCCAATCGTACTTTTGCTCGAAGTCGGTCGTGCAGAAGGTGCATTGGTACTTGCGCGAGGGGCTTGAAGGTTTTCGGAAAATCGTCTTGGCCACATTATGCGAGGGCTCGCGCTGTCTCTTGCGGCCCTTACGAGAGCCGCGACTATCCAACGAGTCCATGCTTGCGGCCGAAGAGTTGGACGTCGAGCTCTGCGAGCTACTCCGAACCGATGACGCTTTACCCTTCCTAGAGCGAGCGGGTTTGATGGGCCTATCCGCCTTGCCTGCTGCTGCGCGCACGGCATCTTCGGATATACCCTCGTCTTCTGGGGAGCTCGAAAAAAAACGCTCCATGGGCCCTTGCTGGTCTGCAGGGGTGGGGATGTCCACACCTTTTCCTTCTGGAGCGGGATGTGGTAGTTTCCGCGCCCTGGAGTTGGCGAAGAAGATCTGGATTTGCCGGATCGAGAGACCCGTATCGGATACGAGCTGCTGGATTTCTTCTTTCGGGACGTACGGGTCTTCTCTGTGGCGCTCGAAGCAACCGGTGAGTAAGCGCCGGGCCTCAGGTGGCATTCGGCGTCTTCTCTTTCCATCGTTGCCTTCATCTTGCAGGTTTGGGGAACGCTCATCTGCATAGGCAGAGTAATTCGAGTCGGAATTCGGTGTGTATCCTGATAGTGTGGCCGTCTCGGTCGGGGAGACCCAGTCGCCGGACCGCACTTCATCTGGCAGCTCGGCCCACCATTCCTCCATGGAAGGGAAATCAAGCATTGCGAACTCAGATCCATTTTCTATGCTGGGTGGGATGTGACTGGGACTGGGGATCTGGGGGCCATCCGAAGCCTTTGGCGGTGCCAATTCTTCTACTGCTGGAGAACATCCAGTCGGAGCGAAGGGAATGCTAGGGTCGTATTCAAGGTTAACGAAGCTAGACCAGTCGATCTGCTCCGTCGCTGGAAGGTTGCCATTGTCCAGCTCTAGCAGAGCCCAAGTATCCTCATCGACTTCAAGTTTCGCAGCGTTCATTTGTAGGAACGCAAGCAGCTGTCGTAGATTCCGGCACCTTCATATATCATTCGTGGGCAAACAAATTGACTTCGTGTGGGCGTGACTGACAAGTGGTGTGAAGATGTATCTCGCAGGGGTTGCGCAAGTCGAGGTGTCATTGTGAATTTGGCCCCCGGATATAGGTCGGACATAGGAGTTCAAGAGTCGCGTCTTCTACGCGCTTCAACCCAGACAATCGGTGGACGGAGTACCGGTATCAGATACATACTCCACAGTTAAACGTGCGTCTTAACCCAGGCTACGAAACACATTCACTACTCACAGAGTAGACAGACCGTATCTCGCACCGCAGCGTTCGCTGCCCAGCCAGCCGTCCTACGCTCAAGTCTAACTAAACGACCCCACACCCCACCAATGGCACCTATTGCAGCTACGTCAGAGCGAAAAACCCAAGCAAACAACTATCTTTTACTCCCCTCGTGTTGCCAATTCACCTCTGTTCCTCCTCGGCTTACTAGCTATATAAGCATCTTTTTCGTCCGAACTAACATCAATTGAATACCACCAACGGTCGGTTAGCTCAGTTGGTTAGAGCGTGGTGCTAATAGTCTTCAAACGTTAACGCCAAGGTCGCGGGTTCGACCCCCGTACTGACCAATGATTATCTTTTTGCCCTTATGATGGCCTCTACCACCCTCCGGTAGCAGGAAACCTCGTGTCGAACCGCTGTTTTTGCCAGGGTGGAAGTAGATAGTAGGTAGGCATGGTCCGGGTAGGCGCAGTGGCTAACACCCAAGCCTGTGGTAACTCACTCACTCTACGATTCGTCTGTAAAACTACAACCTAACAATCCATCGAGGATGTACACATGTAGGAGCCCGTCGAGTTCGATTTGCTTTTTGGTCACTGTGGGGCACACAGCTAGATGTTCACGACTTGACAGGGAGACGGAGAGATTTGCGATGTAAAAATGTGCTTCGTTATAGCAGGCCATGACACTGCTATGCCTTTGTCGACATGCTGTGCTATTACAAGATGTATCGTTTCCCAAACAGCCATTAATATCGTACATTGACCCAATCGTGAAAATCGGTTCCTGGAATGCAATAGACGCCTGGTATCATGAAACACAATATGCAAGGGCGGGCACCCACTCCTTGAGGTCCTAACGAGGGGTGATTCCTAGTCAACATCGCCGGCGAAGCCTCTCCTTCTCGATACCGACTCGTCCAGGTTGCGCAAGGGTATGCCGAAGTCGTCTTTCTCAGCCCAGTCTTCATCCTCCTCCTCCTCATCGGACAGCCACGACCCAGGTATGGTCTCCGTGATGTTGCGCATGCGGTACGTGTTGAAGCTGAAGACGCCATCGGAGATCTTAGCTGCAATGCGTAGCATAAGCGAGACAAGGTGAGCGGGAGGCCCCAGGACTATCTCGGCCGTCTTTCGCATGAGAGCACCTGTGAACTGCTTGCGCGGACCATTCGCTGGCGGGCAGAAAAGGTTCTGTGGAGCTGGCATCGGGGAGAATGCGCGCTTTTGGGTAGCACCGGTAAGGCGTCTCATGCGGATCGCATCAGGCGGTGTGGTTACATCTAATGATGGCAGGCTGAGGCTGTCATCATCAGAATCACTCACAAGCGGAGGTGTGGAAGGCGCTGGTGATAGGCGAATTGTTGGCGCTGAGGTGGCTGGATCATCAGTCTGTGTAACTGAAGCTTCCTCTGCCATGTGCGCCGAAGCCTGCCGCACGGTCAATTCCGATGCCTGTCGGCGGTGCTTGCTGCGACCGCGACGTTCCTCGTCCGCAATGTGTAGTTCAAGGTCCCATGGATTAGCAGATTCCGCTTCTGCGTCCAAAAACGGAGGCGTGGGAGTCCGTGGGGTTGATGTTTCGACAGAGTAGAACGAGTCGACAGTGGAGACTATACTCTGCGTAGACTCTTTCCTCTCCAACGGTGTTCTCGACGAACTCGCCTGCGTTTGGTGCTCCATCTGGAGCCTGTGTTCGGCTTGCTCAGGAATGGCTTCGCTCGAGAAAGACAGTCGATGAGCCATTTGTGCAGTGGGGACAGTGGCAGATCGTTTCTCTTCGAACGTTCTTTTGCGTTCGGCGACTGACAGCCGCCGCGGCATGGGCTTCGGCGCGGGCTTCGGCGGGGTGGCTTCTGCAAACGTGGCAGGAGTATCGGGCACTGGCTCGCTCCTGTCAGTGCATATACTCGAGGTGTCGTCTTCCTCATATGATGATGCGGTACCCGCGTCCGAGCCTTCCAAAACAGGCGTACAAGGCCGCGAGCCATTCTGTGGCATCCAAGTCTTATCGAACGTCCATTTCTTGGCTTTTTCGGCAGGCTTCATCGACCGTCTGCGCGGCGGTGTTTTCGGGCGCTCGGGCACCTCTACCTCAAAGCCACGTGCGAATGGGCACCGTGTCCTCTCATACTGCAGTACCTGTCCCAGAACCTTCTTGAAGTTGTCGACCTTTTCTGTGTCCTCTGCAGTCTCGTGGGGTAACTCGATGCGATAGTATGCGTCTTGCCGTACGCGTAGCACGAAAACGGAATCGCCATCGACGCACCAGCATTGCGATCTCGGGAATATTGTGTGTAGGAGGTTGCCGGAGTTGAGGAAGGAGACATTGGAGGATGTCACGCGGTAGATGCGCAGCGGGCCTGGTCTCGGTCAGTCGCGGTGTCAGCATGCAAACCGTGTGTTGCGGACCAACTGCCAGCGTGCGTTCCGCTGTGGATCTCCAGGGTATAGAAGACGCGTCGTTGTTGGCGCTGTGGCGGCGGGATGGCGAGGCTCGCCGTGTCGAGGCCGAGGCCGAGAACGAGACGATCTTGGTCGAGGTGCACACGAACAGGGTTTCTATCCCGTCGGTGCTGGAGGCAGGCGCGGGCGAAGGCGACTTGCTCGCGATGCGCGCGGGGAGCGTAAAGGAGCGGCGGACGGGTGCATTCCGGGCAGCGGGCGGCGCGTGAGAGGCCATGGTCGAGCGCTCAGGGTGACATTTGTGTCCTGCGGCGGTTCAGGCGGAAGGTCGAGGGAGCGGGCGTGCAACAGTATGAATGGACGAATGAATGAATGCGCAAACAGTGAGTGCGAGCAAAGCGGTGGCTGAAGTGCGTGGGCCGGACGATTGCGCGCCAAGTCCCTGGAGTGTGAAGAAAAGCTTCAAGCGGCCCCGGTGGTCGGTCTGGCACGGCCTCGGACACGCCCACACTGGTCAAACAGCAAAAAGGATGGAACCTGCTGTGTACAGGAGAAGCCAAATAAACACGGCGATGGACGGACAACAGTGGACATACCGGACACCGCGGACAGTGGACAGTGGACACCAAGTGGACAGGTCCTTTTGCTCCCATAGGCTGCTGCGCTTGGGCCCGGCGCGTACAGTACGTCATTAGTCGCGTCCCGCCGGTTCCTCAGCGATCCTACCATCCTACACACCACCTGTAATCGTTTGGTCTCCCACATCCCGCAGCCCCCCCGGTCGCTTGTTCAAACACAGCACGCGAGCATGTCCAATTTCGATCTCAATGCAATTTTGAGAGGCGCACAGCTCACGCTGGTTGGAGGCACGTTTCCTCGAAATCTTATACACATCGTCAACCCAGAGACTAACATTCAGTAGTGAACCGCGCCGTCCAGAACCCAGCATTGTTCACCTCCAAACACTACCGGCAAGCTGCCTTGGCCGTGGCTGCAGGAATCGCCATTCGCATCATCGTTTCCATTCCAGTAAGTGCCCGCTGGTGCCATCTGCACGCTCAGAGTATACCTCGCCTTACCCCTCCATAGCTTACCAAAACCCTAGGTCGTGAGCATCAGAGGTCTACTATGGATCCTAGCATTCGTTGTAGACATGGACCACGCTCAATGGGACAACGCCGTAGTGGATGGCCTCCACTTCCTCGAGCACTCGGTTCTGCAGGTGCCCTTCTTCTTGATGACACTGATGCGATACATCACCCCGACCCTTGACGACATGTTCATGGAATCCCTTCGCTGGGTCGACCAAACGTACATTCAGAAACACAAGTCTGAGGATCCCCGGAACCTCCGCGCCATGTACTACCCCAACCTGAACATGTATCCGACCCACGGCCCGAAGACCGAAGCAAAAACACCCCTCAAACAAGCACTCACTGCCTTCGCCATCAGATACGGGCGCAAGGCTGGCATATCGCTCGCCGTGCTGGCTTTGTCATATGTGCCCTATGTCGGCCGGTTCGTACTTCCCGCAGCCAGTTTCTATACCTTTCAGAAGTCTGTTGGTCCACAGCCAGCTGTAGCTATTTTCGCAGTATCGCTTGTTATGCCAAAGCGATATTTGGTGTCTTTTCTACAGTCGTATTTCTCCTCCCGAACGCTTATGCGCGAACTCGTAAGTCACCAATCATCCTTCTTCATTGCTCCTTCCTGACTCTTTTTCTAGCTGGAGCCCTACTTTGCTCGTGTACGCTACTCGAAGCAGCAAAAGCAGATGTGGTTCAAAGACCGGGCCGGTGTACTTTTTGGCTTCGGCCTCGGTTTCTACGTATTCGTGAAAATACCCATGGTCGGGGTTCTGATCTACGGTCTCGCGGAAGCTTCCACAGCCTACTTGATCACCAAGATTACTGAACCACCGCCAGCACCCTCCGATGCGGAAGATTTCAAGCAGGAAGATGTTCGCTGGAAGAACAAGCATGAATTCCTCAACCTGCCGTGGCAGGACATGGATGCTTACAACCTTCAAATGGCAAAGGACAGTTTCCGATCAGAGGTTCGACAAACGCCTCGCAAAACCTTTACTTAGGACGATCACAGTAGCTAGGCACGGGTATATCCTCTAGGTCGTGCATAAGCTTAGGTACGACGGAAGATTGGAAAGCGATGGATAACAAGAATGAGAGCACCGATAATATCATCTCTCTGCACCGATGATGTCCTCTCTCTACACGCCGCGACATTGTCACATACATGTTTGATGATAAGCTTTCGTGTCGGCTTTCCGATGCGCATGCATATCGTCGCCGTTCGCGGGTACAAAGTATACCCCGCTGCGGGGCCGTTCTGGGAGCTAAGCCCCGAGCTCTCTTCGCAGAAGCTTAAGCTTGGGGTACGTAACAGCTCTGGTATCTCAGCTTATCAGCTTCCTTGCTCCCCCGTCCGCGGCTGATAGCTTGGACAGCTTCCTCGGAGGTGTGGCCTGGGCTATCGTATCAATTGAATGACGAGAGCACACCCTTCCCCGCAGCTATCATGCATTTATTACACTGCGATACCCCGCCTGCCTCGGGAGTCAAGAATCAAAACCACATTGCTCTTGCAACATCTTACAGCTTCCGTGAGAACACTTCCCACCGAGAGTTGCAGACGTCATCATGGGTAAACAAGAGATCCGTTTTGCAGCAAAGGTCTCCTTGGACACACCACCACCAGAGCAAAAGGTGCTCCATGTGAGCTACACATTATTTCAAGTTCCAAACGCACTGCTAACATTGTCTAGAATCGCTGGCATCCAGACAGTACACCTCCCACCACTATAAACAGTTGAACTCGCGCTAATCTGAACACAGTTCCCTTCGCCGGCACGATCAAGAACGGCGAAGTTGTCAAGATTGAATGTCTCGACTGGACGGGCGGCCAGATAGGAAACAATGACTCCG